TATCAGCTCCTGTTGTTGTGTCATGAGCGTGCTCAAGGGCATATAGTCTTCGCCATTGTCTGAGTTAAAATTTATTCTCTTCTTCTCCTGTTGTTTCTGGTATTGTTGAAATTCTGGGACGTAAGTTGACGAAGAAGAATGTTTGGCGAGTGTTTCACCAAGCTTATTGGCAATTTCAGACTTACCAGTTAATATATTGTCACCATCTTTCAGATGGTGAACAGTAGATTTGGAACCTTTGCCCTTAATTCTTTGGATCATGTTCCATACCTTCGAAATTGGTGTACGGGAATTTATCTTGGAAACATACTTCCTCCAAGACTGACGCTTATTCTGCTTAGATGCGCGTCGAGCCTTGGCATTTAAAATTTTAACTTTATCTAAATTATGGACTGTAGGATAACTTCTTTGAGTGGCATTTTAGAAGTTGGGAAGTACAATATAGAACATACAGATACATAATTTTTTATCAGAAATGAATTCCTCGATGATTTTACCTTTATTATTAGTATGGACACTTCCCCAAAGCGGGTTGTGTCCGTTCAGATCACCCATGATAATACTTGGTTTTGGAATCTGATCATACAGTTTTGGCAGATCTGACAGTCGGATATCAGAAGACGGTGGGATATACAAGCTGCACAGCGTCAACGCATGTGTAAAGTCAGACGAACAGCTACAGCTTGGAGATTGGTATTAAGAGGGACAGGGCTATGTATAATACCCTGCCGTACCAAAATAGAAACACCTCCAGTTGCTCTATCTCCTGGAGGGGAAAAGAAATGATAATCGCTGTATTGTCTTAAGTTGAACGTATATGTATTCTTAAGAGAGGTTTCTTGAAGACAAAATGCTGATGGATGAAAGTCCTGTATCAATAATTGTATTTCATTAAAGTTATCTTTAAGACCTCTGCAATTCCACTGAATTAGATTGGGCAATTGAGTCATGGTGCCTCAGTTGGTGATCGCCCTCGTGAAAGTGAGGAGGAACTGTTCCTCCGCCTGTCCTGTGAGGACGGAGTGACCTTCATATCTAGAGGTCCAAAAGGGTTCTCCAGAGGAAGCTCTCAAGGTAAAGGGACGGCAGTTGTTTGTTAACGATGGAATTCTTTTCCCTTCTTTTTTATTGATTAACGTGAGGTGATGTCTCAAACTGATTCTGAAGCTGATTCTCTGGCTGATCCTCAGTCTTCCTCTGGATCTCAGACTCATATTTAAAATATCCAGCTTTATTTGACTGCGGCAGTGAAGCACGAGCAAATGTCAAGAGATAAGTGTTTGTTTTTACAGTGGTACCTTTTTTCCTGATAGTGAAACGTTTGACTGCTGTCACACCCTGATCGTGAAGTTCTGCAGCAATGTCCTCCTCGGACATGTCAAATAGACAGCGAGCTCTGTCGCGAATGATACCACAGGACAGGAATTTAAAGTTCTGTGCACGGACACTGCAACCTCTATATTGTCAAATGTTTTAATCGATAAGAGATTGAGAGATTGCTGTCTCCGTGCGCATTCCACCAGAAGTGAACTACTGACGTTTTTAGCATCTCGTCAAATTCCAGAAACAGCCTTCGATATAGCGAAAGGATTTAGTTTTATGGTCGGAAAATCAGTTGCCTTAATCACAAGGAAACGAGCCCATGATTCCGAATTTGCAGAAATAGTTTTGGAAGAGTCATCAACATTTTCATACAGGCGCTTTTTTTCATTTCGCGAGGAACCAGATGGAGTGGGATCCATGATAATAGTCAATAGGTTCAGCACCCCTGCTCCCCATCCACCACGGAATATCAACAAGGACAGTGTCATATAGCACCGGATCTCCGAGATGCTGACACCAGGGATACAGGGGTGTTATACTCCAGATATAAAGACTTGAAAAGCTATGAAAAACTAAAAGAATAAATGCCAGGCTGGTTCGGCCCATGACATCATTCCCAAGAATCACAGATTTCAGAGGTCTATTATCACCAGATTGGCCCATGAGCCACCGCCATCTGGCACAGGACTCTAGGCAATTTAAAGTAATAAAATTTTATACACTGTAGATAAAAACAAAACAAGACCCAATGATAATAATATAATGTGCAATATAGTCACCACGCACAGGGCTTGGCGTGACCAGATGATTGATAGAACCGGGCCAGTTCTACCACCCGTCTAAGTGAAGTAAGGGGCGAAGTGGTGTGTTGGGCAAAAGGAACAAGGTTCCAGGCTCCCAGTGCCCTAAACCACCAGACTCCTGTCCTCCACCGACACAGGGGCGCAACCCACGGCAAGAGCGTGGTTGAAGAGCGCTTAGCGTTACCCAGCACCCACCACGAGGAGGTGGCTCTTCACGGGTGCCAATGACTGCATGAAGATTTTGACCTGGATGAATTGCTCCAAATAGCTAGCAGCTGAATCATTCAACATTCAGACAACATATTTCACAAATATTTGTTTTAAAAACAAAAGTATTTAACAAACACGGGTTGAAAAGCGCTTAGCGTTACCCAGCACCCACCACGAGGAGGTGGCTCTTCACGGGTGCCAATGACCGCATGAAGATTTTGACCTGGATGAATTGCCCCAAATAGCTAGCAGCTGAATCATTCAACATTCAGACAACATATTTCACAAATATTTGTTTTAAAAACAAAAGTATTTAATAAACGAGAACATTAGAAAATGCTATGCATGCAAAACATTAGGCCTGGCCTGCAGGTTCATCCCCAGCAGGCTACAGAATATAAATTAGTTGTGGCAGACGTTTGTGGCATTTATAATACTGATGTCGATTCCACGTATATTAAAACAATGGTTGCCAGGGGTGTGTCAAGTAACCTTGCTTTAACATCAATATAGAAATCTGAAAACACAATCAGCGAGATGGCCTGGCTTTTGTTGCTTGTGGCTTATAAATAGCCTTCTGTAAATAATTGTTTATGGTAAAATATGCCAAACAGTTTGGCTTTTAAATATAGCTTTGTAAAAGGAGTTGTATTTATAATGCACTTGTGTGTATGCATTAAAACCTTGTGGCTGAAATACTGCTGATAATAAATTGTATCTTAACCTCTCACGCCACCAAACAATGCATGCAAACAACGCAGTCAAGTCAAAGGCTGACTGTGCATGTCGATGTGCTAGCATTTGACCTGGCACATTGTAGATAAACATTCTACAGTCACAGTCGTATCATGAGTATATAAAACTAGTTATAATGAGAAAACTGTGATATATTTATGGTTGTTAGGCTCTTCATTGTCAACAAGTTGTTTACATAATAAGAACATTTTATAGATTAAAACGTATTGCCATATAACTTTAAATATATACTTAAGACTACATTACAAGTCGTTCACAATTGTGTCATGACCTTCATTACCCAGCCAGCTCCGTGGTGAATAAATAGGCTGCACACTTCATCTCAGCAGACTTGTTAAAACATATCGAATCACAATCTGAGCATCAGCTTTCACAGATGTAGGGGCCAAACATCATAGTACAAACAGGTTTAACAACGTTCATTCTTGCTGGTTGTCCGGGACAAAGACAGGGACAGGTAACTATTTGTATGTATTGTATATGTATGTATATGAGTCCCTTGAGTGTAATCATTATACATATTGTTGTTTATCTCATGGAATAATCGCTGATTGCCAGACGTTATATTGTTTGATATTTTAGTCTGCTAACGTCTGACACAGGCGGTTCAGTGAAACTGTTAGTTTTTATTGATGATATTTAGAACATGTTTTCAGGGTTAAAATGTTTGGATAATTGCATGTGCTCTGCATTGTAGTTTTATACCTGGTGTATCTCCAGCCAACTCTATAAGAAAGTTATGGTGCACTTTTGGTGGAATTAGTTCATTTCCAGTTGTCATTTTTTCTCAAAGACATGTGTCCGTCATGGATATTAGGACAGGGACTGGTCCAATTATTTCTACCCGGCTCCCCCACCCCATATTACCCTACCCTACCCTTATACCCATTATGTTAAAGGTCACATGCAACCAAAAAATCAAACATAATTAAAAACACAATTATCACTTATTCATGACATAAAATATACATTGCTGGTTATGAAAAAACATATAAACAAAATTATAAGCATACAATCGCAAATCAAAAGTGCAATATTGTGTACTTGGGTTTACCTCCCAAGAAACGAAGCAGCCGGGATACCGAGCCCAGTCAGAGCGGGTGGGTGTGCACTCAAGTGTAACGGCTGGTTCATTTGCAGATGCCCTCACGGCTCATTGTGTGTGTATATATAGAGATGTTGGGTTTTGTAAATACATGCTCATTTTTTGTGTATAACATTTTGCAATCAACAGACATCATAACATGTCATGTGTTCAAGTATCACACCTGCCTGTTTGTGTAATTACATAATGTGACAGAGACCGAACTCAGGCCATAAATCAATGCATTTTGTTTATGGTGTATAGCCTGATTGGTGTTAAGTTCAAATTGCATGTGGTCAGTGATCGCAGTTGTGTATTGAATATTGTCATTAGCAGACAGGCAGGCAGACACACAGGTGTCAATAAAACAAGACATTGAGTTTTGTCTGTGACAACGACATATCTATATCACAGTTAGAAATTCTGTCAACGCTAAATAATGACATTGCTGTTAAGTATCGAACTGAGAAAGTGACTCGGTAAGAAGAACGTGTGGTGAAATAGACAAATGAAATTATTTAAACAGTTAATTTACCGTAATAACATATAAAAAGCTCGCGCCTGTGAGATTTCAACAAAACATTAGAAAAATAGCTCACACCAAAGCCTTCACCGAGTATTCACCGGACAACCCTCTTCCAAGTTGCGCGAACCTATTTCACTGCGCACGTGCTATGAGCGCAGCCCAGCTGTTGGAACCACTTCAATTCCCCCCAAACGCTGGGGGAAAATTAGTGAATCGTTTGAACTCCGATTTCGCGCGTTTTTTTATGTGGATAGGTGTTTTCACAACAAAACCAACCATGTACAATGCCCTAGCTGCAATGGTAAACTTCCCTGAGGTCCAGAAGAAGATCCAGGAGGAGATCCAGAGAGTGGTTGGAAAGGACCGCCTTCCTGGTTTGGAGGACCGGAACAAAATGCCCTACAGTAGCGCAATGGAATTAGAATTTTATCGCTACTACACTCCTGCCGGTGCAGCTGGACCAAGGAACACTACCCAAGACTGCGGCTATAAAGGTTACAGCATCCCCAAGGGCACAAAGGTACGTGTTTGAAGTAATGAAGGGCAACATATCCGCTAAATACTCTTGAAAGTCTCTTTGGGGCGCGGTGGGCGAGCTGTCTAAGGCGCCAGGCTAGTAATCCAGCGAGCTTGGAGGTGCCGGGATCGAGCCCACCTGTGACCGGGTATAAAAAACCTTGGAGTCAACTCTGTGTGCAGACTCTTTCGGTGTTGTGACAACCCCTAGGGTACAGTACACAACCCTGTGCACTTAAAAGAACCCACGAATCCGTTGGTAGATGACTAGATGGTGGCCACATGAATACGTGCAAACACCCAGTTGCGGGTACAGCAACGTGCAGTGAACTTGGACAAAGTACTGTGACTATGTGTCCCAGTCCACCCAGGTGTGAATGGGTACCTCGTAAGGATGGAAAAGCCACATTAACTCGGTGCGCCTAGTAGGCAGCCAGAGATGTATGATCCCCAGGGAGTTGAGATTGAAAAATATGATGTGCCGTTGTGATGGATATCCAATGATCGAGGAGAAACAAAGGGCTTTTGAGCAGTTGTACTGGATATCGGCGCTATACAATGTTTGTATGTATGTATGAAAGTAAGTAGGAGCTATTGCATTTTTGTGTGAAATCATTTGGGAACCAAGATGTATGGTTGTATATGGATTTAGAAAATGATCCTTTCTCTCAAGGTGTGTTGGGAATTTCTTTCGGACACGTCAATTTCGTGCAAGTGTTTTTCATGATGTGAATATGGTCTTGGTAAAATTTGAAATTTACAGTGAAACCTGTCAGTGTGTTGCTGTACATTTCAGTGATAATGACTGTAAGTTGTTCTGGTATTGTTTTAAACATAATTAAACATTAGTAATAGCTACATGCGATTTGCATGTTGGATGTTGTTTCGAGCTCAACCAAGGGCGACAACTGGCACATCAGGAGTATGTACCCGTGATCAAAGTGCAAAAGACAAATTGGAGATGAGCTTCACAAGGTTACAGATTTTAGCATCATTCGTAATCAGCAACATAGATGAAGTCTCCATGCCCGACGTAGATGTGTTATCCCACGATTGACAGACTGGCTCATTACTGCATTACTGACGTCGTTGGTGCCAAGAGATGCAGCGGTGGACCAAACGTTTTGTGGCAAACGTTATAAGGAACTGAGGTTATCTTTGGACTTCACTGACAGATTGACATCTGTGGTTGAAAGGGAATGGGCATTTTCACGCCGTAAATATTAGACAGAACGATCCTTTTGGGAGAGGCTCAGTAATAGTGAGGGTTGGGATCTCATGTTATTGTTATTCACGGACGTTTCACTGGGCAGTACTACCGTCACAACATCCTTGAGGAACACGTGGTGTCACTGATACGCCTGCATGGACGTCATTTTGTGTTTCACGATGGCATCGCAGGAACACAGGCGTATTGTTACCGACTACCTCCAACAGGAGGACATAACCACCTTCCCATGGCCAAACCTCAGTGTTGACACACTCTGTCGCTATTTTGGGCGTCTATTCAGGTAGTTACTGTTACATTTCCATCTTTTGGAATGGCATATACTGATAATGTAATCACAACTAAGTTTATCATATGACTAACCTTGCCATTTTCTTATTTCACTTGGTAAAGTGCAGAGCCACTGACACCTCGCCCCATGAGGTGTTTGGGGGAAGCCAGCGTTTGTTGATTCCTGAGAATCTTCTATAGTTATTTTCGGTTTCAGTTCCCCGTTCTCCTGCATCTGAATAAGGTCAGCTCCGTACAAGGTCGGTTGCTATGCACCTGATCTAAAAATACCTCTGGGAAAAGTGGTTTATCCCAAGGTCAGCTCCGTACAAGGTCATTGACACCCCTTTGAAACGAGGTCAGCCAGGTGTTCGATGATGACGTCATTTTTCTGCTATTCCCACCTGTGTACAACAATCCCAGACCTAGCCTAAATTGATTGTACAATATGTGAAGCCCAATTCTGGTGTCACCCGCCGTCATATTGCTAGAATATTGCTAAAAGCGGCGTAAAACCATATTTACTCAGTCACTTACTAACTCACTCACTGTTGACTGTTTACATTTCCACCCCTTTGTCTTTTTGAATGTGTCATAATGAGCTGTCAATCATTCATTCTTCGTCTTTTTTGTTCCCGCAGCTGTCAGATGCAAGAATTGCTAAAACTTTGGTAACGTTTCATCTCAATGCAGAAGTTAGCTCCAGCTACCATTCTAAATAGTCCCCCTCAAAAATCCTGGTTCGAAATCATTGCCGGTTATTTCGTCATTGTTCACTTTAATCCATCCAGTGGAGCAATCTACACCTTCTAAAACTGCTCCTCGAGTTCCCCATAAGTCAGGATTGTGCTATGAACCGAGTTCCATTATAAACGGGAGTCTCCAAAGATTCTTCCAAGTTTCGTACTGTTGAAGCTTTCTGGATTCCTCGATATGATTCATGATCATATATCAGTTTGTGCTTCAGAACGTATAGCATTTCTAATGGCACAGGGATGGATGTTCATGTAACAACCATTTTTACATATTCATTACCACTATTGCAGCTATTTAGTTAATGGGTACAGAAAAGATATTTTTACAAAATTTGAAACTAGACACCATTTTGAATACTAAATGTATCTCATGTGATATTGAATGGGTTCCATTGTTTATATTTTCTGCCGCTGCATCATCACCGTCCACTCTCAATTTACTACATCGGTTCCCAAATGCGTAGATCGATGCTCATCATGTTGATCATTGGATTGTCTGGTCCAGACTCGATTATTTACAGACCGCCGCCATATAGCTGGAATATTGCTGAGTGCGGCGTAAAACTAAACTCACTCACTCACTCACTCACTCACTCACTCACTCACTCACTCACTCAATTTACTAGGGATGACAATGAGATAAAATAAACCCAGTTTGATATTGGACGTTTGATTAGAAAATGCCTCGTCGAGTCTGTGAATGTCTATGTAGGACAGAGGCAAATCCTTGCGATATAAATCGGTTTTACTTTCCATGGTAAAGGACATGAAGGACAGTGGGCCAATCAGCTAACGAAATCTATCTGACGTTCAACGACTAAGGCAAATCTCAATCTGACTTCCCTGTCACACTGTAAAACAATTTATCTCATTCAAGATATAGAATATCAATAGTTGTAAAAACTGTATATTGCATATCTCTCCCTTTATTAACAGAACAGATTCCTTGACAACTGTATTTTTCGTCGTAACGTTATCCTAGGGTTTTGTAGTACACTTGTATTCTTTGACATTAGAACATAATACATTGTTCACAATAATGACAAGAATCTCTCTTTATGAAGGTTCTTTACAATGTATGGCGTGTACACCACGACGAATCATTTTGGGAGAATCCCTTCACGTTTGATCCAACCAGATTCTTGGATGATAATGGCGACCTTCTGCCACCGGAGGATGAAAAGCGTCAGAGGAAAATTTGCATAAGTCAGCCTGCATACAGTCCAATTTAGGATTTTCAGCAGGGAGAAAGAAAGCTTATACACAAACAGGTCCCATAGGTTGAATACATACTTGTGAAATAAAACCTAACTATCCTTTCATAGCTGAGTTTAGTTATCCTTGGTATTGCCTCCTTCATCATGCCATCCTTGCTAGTCGGTGTTGGGTCTCTGGCGTACATTCTTTTCATCCCGCCTTCCGAGAATATGCCCTACTGGAGATATGTCAGAGTATTTATTGGGAGCTTCCCGTCGGGCAAAATCGGTGTCACCCTTGGCACAATGTGTTCTGGCATTGTAATTGGCGGAATAATTAATGAGGTGTCGTTTTAGGTCCTACTATCCTCCAGTCGCAATGCACACACACACACACACACCCGTTTGGTGGTACTTGTCCCAAAGTCGAAAATTATGCTGTTTAATTTTCAATTATTCGGACAACTTGGAATACCGCAAAAACAAATTGTATCCATACTTTACCATTTTGTCTGGTCATGGGGAGGCTGTCTTGGCGGCAGTTTCAAGCGTTTGCTTAGCTCGGTAGTATGAACGATGATGAGTACCCCTTAAAGCATACATACTTTGACTGATGCGTATATCACGCGTTGTTCATGCATGATATGAACGTTCATTATGATCAGATGTTAGGTGTGGACACAACGCCATGGGACTGTAAATCATAGGTACATTCAAATCATTACGTTTTGTAGGTAGTATAAAATTACACATGATTACACGTGTTTTGTATTAATTTGCGGACTGCTGACGTTTGGTGTTGGAAAGCGTTCTTGTATTGGTGAGAAGCTGGCCCGAGTCAGGATATTTCTTGGACTGACGTCTATCCTGCAAAACTTCGACCTTGTTCGTGATCCGTCAGAGCCTTTCCCTTCATCCGACCCAAGCACATACGAGCCTAACTTTATGCTGCAACCACCTCCATACAAGTTGCAGTTCAAACCTAGACATTGAGAGCCACAATGTCCCTGTTTACGACACACACATAAGCTTTGAGATTTGTCGAAAGGGTCAGAGCTTCTGTCGTTAGCCATTCTCCATGTTAACCCCTAAGTTGTATACGTGTATCTCGACAGGAACTAATTGCAATCATTATAGTTATGGATATACATGTGACGTCTTCATAATCAACCCATGTGACAAGTATATTATCAACTTCGACTAATTCCAAATGGGCATAAGTTCAGTATGCTTAGTCATTGTTATATTTTTTGTAGTTATTCTAGACGTTTCATGCCACATCTTATACTGAGTAACTATCAATGAGATCGTGAGATGGTATTGCTTTGTCTGAATTAAAAGAGGGGCGGAGATAATAACTTTTCCCCATACAAGAAATTAACTAAGTTGCCTCTCTGTTATTGAAGGTTAGGGGCCAAATATGCCACATACGTAATTTCTATATGTGCATTTGAAGTATAACATGTGATTTTATTCCGGAACATTACTATTCACGAAAGGGGGTGTTAGTTTTTGAGAGCTGTATTTAAAGCAAAGGTTCTCCGGGTGTTTTTGAAAGGATTGTATGATTATGAAACAACAATTAAATGCATCTACCGTTACAATTACAATACAAAGTGCACTACGTCATTAGTTCTGGTTCAGACAGTGCCACAGCACTATTGCATGTTCAATCATAAACTATATAATCACAACACTGCATAAATAGAGAATTTATTAAAGACACATTCAATGAATATACAGTAAAGTTAAATCATTAACTCTATAATAACTATGTTATATGATAACTTATATCACGAATAAATGTTTTGTCTTCACTTGCCTATTTCATGTATTCAAACTCCAAGCCTGTCACTGCAAACGTTGCTGATGTTGGCTGTAAGGACGTTCTTTACATATTAGGTTGTATTGGGTCTGGCGAAGTCATGCAGGACCCCATCTTGCAGTTGTTATTGAAGTGGAAGGACAATTGTTGCGTTTGGACGATGTCTTTTGAGTTCAGATAGTTTGAACATGTGTTTGTCAGTTTACGATCAGCTCCCGATAGCCTTCGAATCAGGAGTGCTGATACTTTTTGTAGATTTTGTCTCAAACAAGTCAAATATTACAGTCAAGATCAGGGCGTCTCTCACCTATTTGTCAGACGTCTTAACATGACCATTCTTGGGGTCACTGATGTTTTGAACTATTATATGTTGATATATGTTGCACCTAAGGTTTTCCCAACGTGGACGACTGTTAGGATGGGGCTGGTCCAATCAATCGGCTGATCATTCCAAGGCATATGCATGACGTTATGTATGCACACGTGGGCTTTTTCTAAATGAAGTGTTAGGATCGGGTCATGTGATATTCACGATTTATTGATGTAAAAATTGCCTTGGAGCAGAGGAAATTGGCTTGTGGGCCAGTCGGGCGGTGCTGACCTCTAAATAATGGGGTATATGGGAGATGTGAAGAGGTGTCTGTCACAATGAACACAACTTCCTCCACTGAAGGTCACACATGATATGGTTACTCTGCATGATCTTGGTACGTCAAGATAATCCTTACCATTAAAGTTAGTAGTGTCTTCTGGTGTTAAATCTAGAAAATCCTTCATTCTGGGATTTCGATCATCCACTAGAACCATGTGTTTATCGGGATGGTCAGCCACAATGACATCAAAATAATGTTCAAGATAAGTCAAACCATCGGGTTCAATATTTGTGAAAAACAATAGGTGTGTCATAAGTGAAAATCAGAACCTAGGCTAGCTAGACGACTAGCTGTAAACAAAAGGACAACTGTGAGAACAGTTACCCCACTGCTGTGGCGTCCCAGCTGTTTAGCTTTAATTCCATCTGTTTACATTCAGTACAAATGCACAACAACGGACACAGCAGAGGATGTGTTACCCTGAACCAAACGTACATCATACAGTTAGGGCTACCCCATAAGCTGGTTATCACTTGGTTGCAGAACGACAAGAAGAAATATATCTTTCATCTCCGCAGCCCACTCAGCTTTTTCCTGTATACAAGCTAACCATGCTGGAGTTGGGGCATGTCCCAAGGGAGCCACATCACGAATACCATGGATGCACCAGCAAACACACACTTCTTGAGTATGCAAAAGCAACAGGATGGCAAACAATTCCACTAATAAGTGGTAAATTATCAAGACAGCAATGCCATGCAAGTGTTTACATACATGGCAGAGCAGAATATTCCTGACCATCTCCGGTTACTGAAGTTGTATATATGTGCCGAAATCCTTGTGAGCTAATTGCCAACATTCGTCAGGCAGTTTGGTAATGCAGGAGACTGTAGTGTTGGCCAGTTTCCACATTCTCCAAATAGTCCTTAAGAAATCTCTGCAAAATACAGATCCGATTGTACAATTCCGAGGTGTTTGCTATAAAAGAATATCGTATTCTGCCCCATCGGTGGCACCCTTCATAAACACATGCGAAAGCCAGTTAGTCAACTCAGGCTGAAAAGTATAATTTTTATGAATTTTGAGTTGCGTTTTTATTGCTGGTCAGTATATATAACCAACTTCTAGCTAACCAATTCTTTTCTTAACAAAAATAAAGGTATGTATCAGATCTGTCATTCCTGACTTTTTCTACACAAATTTAAATTTCAGCAGACGTTTGAATGTTCATTGTAATCACATAATTCATTGAAATTCTAATATCTGCAGCCCCGTAATTATGCTATTGATAAAGAATATGTAAATGTTCTTTTTCATATTTTCTCATCTGTTACAGTCGTATCATAAATATAGTCGAAAACAAGTTATAATGAGAAAACTGTGATATATTTATGGTTGTTAGGCTCTTCATTGTCAACAAGTTGTTTACATAATAAGAACATTTTATATATCAAAACGTATTGCCATATAACTTTAAATATATACTCAAGATTAGATTACCCAACCAGCTCCGAGGTGAATAAATAGGGTGCACTCTTCACCTCTGCAGACTTGTTAAAACATATCGAACCACAATCTGCGCATCAACCTTCACAGATGTAGGGGCCAAACACCATAGTACAAACAGGTTTAACAACGTTCATTCTTGCTGGTTGTCCGGGACAAAGACAGGGACAGGTAACTATTTGTATGTATTGTATATGTATGTATATGAGTCCCTTGAGTGTAATCATTATACATATTGTTGTTTATCTCATGGAATAATCGCTGATTGCCAGACGTTATATTGTTTGATATTTTAAACAAGTCTGCTAACGTCTGACACAGGCGGTTCTGTGAAACTGTTAGTTTTATTGATGATATAATTTAGAACATGTTTTCAGGGTTAAAATGTTTCGACAATTGCATGTGCTCTGCATTGTAGTTATGGTGCATTTTTGGTGAAATTAGTTCATTTCCAGTTGACATATGTCCGTCATGGTGATTAGGACTGGGACGGGTCCAATTTTTCCTCCCGGCTACCCCACCCCCTATTACCCTACCCTACCCTTATACCCATTATGTTAATTACTGACATCAAATTTGTAAGAAATGGAAATATATTCTTCAGCTCGGCTTTTTCAATATGTTAACCATGTATTATAGATTATGTCTATTATTTTCAAAGACAATACAACTTTTCAATCATGAAATAATAACATATTACATTGTTTAATCTAGTAGTCACATGATCATAACGGTCCGGGTATTGAGACGGGTACCCAGGTCCAATTCCTTACCGTGCAGGGTATCCGGGTTACCCGTCTCAGCCCTAATCGATATACTGCCCTTTTGTTTCTATTTTAGACGTACACACAAATCTGTGTCTCTTCACTGACGTTGTAAGCAGGATGTTGACTGCGATTATACTAGGGGCCGCTGTTGTGCTGTTTATCGCCTACATTTATCAGTGGAAACGGAAGTATAACAAGATGCCTCCAGGTCCAAAACCACTGCCAGTTCTGGGCAATTTCCAAGAAATAAAAGACTCTACAATGATCAATGATCTCACTAGATTGGGTTCGCAATACGACGGCATATTCACCGTCCATTTGTTAATGAAACCTGTACTCATTTTGGACCAGTTCCACACCATTAGGGACCTCCTTCATTCTCCTGCATATGCTGACATCTTCAGTGGAAGGGTTAATTCATACTTTAGCAAATACTTGCTGCCGAATGATCTGATCTTCCAGACGGCCAGTGACAGACAGCAATACCTGAGAAAACTGACCTTTCGAGGAATAAAGCAGTATGGAACTGCACTAAAAACGTTGAGCATCTTGCCCAAGCTGAAATACAAGATATGATAAACAGGTGCAGAAAACGAAATGGAGGCTCTTTTGACCCGTGGGATGACCTGAACCAATATGTCAGCAACGTGATCTTGGTTTTGGTAAGATGGTGCTTTCTTCTGAAGAATCTTCAGTAATAATTAGGAAACATTGTTTTTATCCGTAAATGGCACTAATGATGCATTGGGTGTCAACTTCCGCAACATAATTTCCAAATTTAATGCATCAGTGACAAAAATAATGTCCGATGCAATTCCCTCTTTGACTTATACCGTACGTTCCCGAAATATTTCAGGTGAATAATTGACTGGACTTAGCATATGTTTATGACGAGTCACCGGTGGGGCAGGATACGCTAACCTATTCGCGAACACCTGGTATCATCACTATTTCATCGTTATTAATAAACACATGCTCTGTTATCGCATCACATCGTGACAATCTGGACTCGATTTCTTTACAAACAACATCGTACAGCTGTAATACTGCTTGGAAAAAATATAAACTCATGATATAGTCACAAGTGTACAAGCGACGTGGAAAGGGTTTTCTCGCTTCTAGTTATATTGATGACCGCAGAATTCACCTGTGTCAATTCACAGCTAGTATATTTTATTTCAGGTTTGTGGACGTAGATTTCAACCTGGCCATAAGACACTGGAAATTTGTCAGAAAATTTCAGATGCCTTTGATGTCCTTACATACCAAAGGAACCTGTTTCTCATTGACAATGTCCCGTTTATTACGACGTTGATACCACAACTGAGACACGCTTACCAATCAATGAAGGATGGTTACCAGTATTTTACCGAAACTGTTG